TGCTCAGGCCCAGGCGGGGGAAGGGTCCCCGCCTCGCCCCCCCCACTGACAGAGTCTGTGCGCTTCCCGCCCTCTAGGCCAAACTGACCTGTCCCTGCTGCAACACGCGCAAGAAGGACGCGGTGCTCACCAAGTGCTTCCACGTCTTCTGCTTCGACTGCGTCAAGACGCGCTACGACACCCGCCAGCGCAAGTGCCCCAAGTGCAACGCGGCCTTCGGCGCCAACGACTTCCACCGCATCTACATCAGCTGAGCGCCCGCAGTCCCCTGCATCCCCCCGCCGGGCGCTGCAGAGCCTGCCAGCCCCCGCCCTGGCTCTTCCTTCCACAGATCCCCCACCCCAGGGACTTGCTGCTGGGATCCACGTGGCAGATCCCCTCCTCCCAGCCCTCTGCGCTCCGCTCAGCAGATGCTGCCAGGATCCACCTGGCCTGCCCTATGGATCCCACCCACGTGCTCCCTGGTCCCTTGAGAGAAGGGTCCTCTGGATCCTCCCTGGGTTCCATTAGATCCTCCGGGGCTGGTCTCCTCCCACTGTGTGAACCCCGGTGAGAATCCTGTTGTGCTGAGAGGATGCCCTGTGGGGGTGAAGGGTCCCAGGGGAGGGGGTAGAGAGGGACCGTTCATTCTATTTGGATTTTATTTTATTTTTAAATACGTTTTGTTGCGTGGGAAATAAAGACTGGAGAGTGCCACCGGGGCCAGATCCCACACCCAGGAGCGTCTGCCTCACTGCTTGGGGAAGGGAAGGGGAGGGGGGCTGCAAACATGGGGTGTGTATTACACGGGAGGCTTTTATGGAGCATTACGCTGCTGTGAAAACCCTGCGTCTGGCCCATGCCAGCTGGCTTCGGGTCGTTTAATTGTAGAGCAGGGTTCCATGTTGGGTCCAGGGCCCTGGCTCTAGGACCGTGGGAGGTGGGAGCGTTCCAGGGCTTGGACTGCAGCCTAAACCAGAACATCTACAACTCAGCAGCCCCACAGTCTGAGCATGGGCCAAGCGCAGGTCTCAACTGCAGCGTGGACCGACCTACAGCTCTTACAGCCAGAAGGGAGCAGCTGGATCGTTTCCTGCATAGCGCGTGCCAGAGAACATCCCAAAATAATTCCTAGAGCTGCGCTTCTGGAACAATAGCTAATCTGCGTGTAAAAATAGTCCATGATGACCCGTCTCTAAGGCACCTGGGAAAATTGCTAGTTCCTCTCACTGTTTACAGTTTACACCTTTTTCCCATTTGAATGTGTTGAGCTTCGACTTCCAGCCCCTGGATTGTTTTAGATCTTCCTCTGGTAGCTTAAAGAGCTGATTATTCAATATTTGTTCCCCATGAGGAACTTGCAGACTGGGCTGAAGACACCTCTTCCCCTTCTCTTAAGATAACTAGATAGAGCTTCTGGAGTCCGGCGCTAGAGGCAGGTTTCTCCTTTTCTGACTCCTCTCCTATTTCTCAACATCCTTCTCTAATTGGGACCACTTGGCCCCAAGTGTCCAGCAGTGGTCACACCAGTGCCAAATTCAGCGGGAAAACAACCGCTCTGCCCCTGCTGGGTCACTAGTTAACGGATTAATCAGGATTTTACATCCCTACGTGCCAGTTAGCTGCCTTTTCATCCCTTTCGGGTGCATCTTGTTCCTGGTCTAGCCTTCTCCGTGTTCTACTCAAAAGGCCCTGTGGTACCAAGTCAGAGGCCTGCTAGCACTCAAAATACAGCAACATTAGTGCTTGTATCCTCATACGTGGCAACTCACCCAAAGTTACCAGAGTCTGACAGAAGCTCTCGTCTGTGCAGCCATATTGTTCGGTATTAATTGCATGGTTTTCCCTCATTAATAGAGTTCCACATCAGCTGATTGGTTCTCGTCAGTGGGATCGAGGTCAGGCTGGCAGGCCAGGGATTACCAAGGTCATACTGTTCACCCTTTTACGTTGGCAGAACTTCTGCATGTGGACAGCCGGACACAGCTCACAGCTTTCTGGGGCGTGGGAAGGGGCTGCCTCCTTTTCTAACCTGTCCCCCTGTGGTGTCAGGGATGGCACCAGAGCCCTAGCCTCCCTGCGGCAGATTGTCATGCTCCAGCCTGGTCCAAGCCTGCCCTACTGGAGCAGGAAAGAGTCACACTGGGAGCAGAGCAGAGGTGAGGCCACACCAGGCTGTTTGAGGGAGGCTCAGCCTCTCCCTGCCCACACTACCTGCTGCTCATGCTGGAGACAGTTTGCTTTTAAAGAGTTTCTTTAAAAAAAACCTGCTAACTTCCTGGAACTCGTTTCCCTCAGACTTGCGTCTCGTGGCTCTTACCTGCCAATACTCTTAACCATTCCTTGGAGTTGTGAGCTAGATGATTTCTTGAGCACATCAGTGGTGCTGGACCCCTTTTAATAGTGGGGGTGCTGAAAGCCAGCCCCCTGTTCCCTGTCCGTGCCACCCCACACACACTTGGGGCTGTGAGGAGTGCTATATCTCAAGGAAGGGGGGATGCAGACCTGCGTAAGGGGGCCAAAGCTGGGAGCTGGCATGGACCCAAGAGCTGAGCCCCAGGTGTGGGACTGGGCTTGGCCCTGAATAAAATCTGGGGGTGCTGTAGCATGCCTGCACCCCTCCTTCCTGTGGATCACGTTGATCCAAGCTCCCTTCCAGCTTCTCCCCTCGTGGCTTTCTCTGCCTTCTGCAGTAAACATGGTTCCCAATGCATTCCAAGAACTGCTGGAAAATCTGTGCCCCACTGTATTTTTCCCAGCCTCTTGTCTGTGTAGGTGAAGTCCCCCATCACCACTAAGGTTTGGTCTATTTAGACCCCTATCAGTGCACCTGTATCCATCAGGGGTGTGATGAGTCCACACCTCTCAGCGATGCACTTACAACCTAATCCCTCCGGCACACCGCCCTGTGTCGGCTGGAGAGCTGCCAGTACTCACTGCTTTTTGGGTCTTCATTCAAGTGCTACAGCAGTGCAGCTACACCCATGCAGCATTTCAAGTACGGGTTTGCCCTGTGGCAGTGGTCACCAACCAGTCGATCGGGATCTACTGGTTGATCTTGGCGCCTCTGACAGGTGAACTTGACTGGTTTGGCCAAGAGGCTGCCAAGTGCCTGCACTTCGGCTGTTCCTGCCCCCACTGCTGTGCAACTCCTGCCCTTTGCCTTCAAGCTGTTCCCCTCTCTCACTCTGTATCCTGTCTCCACAGAATGGAGGGGGAGCACGACGGGTTGGGATGGAGGAAATTTTCTGGCTGCTTTTGAGAGTGGTGCAGGGCAAGGGCAGCAGTGAGCCTGCCTTAGCCCCAAGCCACCTGTGGTAAGCAGCGTCCAGCTGGGGCCTGAATCCCTGAACCGGTCATGTACCCCCTCCTGCACCCCAAGCCCCTGCCCTAGCTCTGAGCCCCCCTAGATCCAGACTCCCTTGCAGAGCCTGCACCCTGAACCACCTCCTGCACCCAACCCCAGGCTCAGCTCAGAGCCCTTCTCATACACCAAATTCCTTAGCCCAAGATCAAAACCTGTGCCCCAACTCTCTGCCCCTGCCTGGTGAAGGGGAGGGAGGGAGCAGGGGCAGGGCTTTGGAGAAGGGGCACAAGGCCCCAAGGAGGTGGGGCAAAAATATCTGAGTTTGAGAGAGATCCTGGATTGCACTTTGAAAGGTTGGAGGCCACTGCCCTACCGCTTGTGCTGGGTGGGGGGTGATTTCATTTTTTTTCTCAAAAAGACTCATTCATCTCTTTGTTCTGGTGGCCTCCTATAGACTCCTACCATGCCCTCACCTTCATCTTTACTCCTTTAATCCGATCGCAGAGATTTTCAGGTCTAAGGCAGCTTTGGTGTACAAGACACCCCCTCCCTTCTCCCCACTGCCTGCCCTTCCTGAACAAGCTGTGCTTGCCTTGACCAATATTTTAGTCCTGTGAATTGTCCCGCCACCTCACTGTGGTGCCTGTCATGGCCTGTGTGTGATTATTCACGAATATTTCCAGTTCTTCCTATTTATCCCCCCTCCCAGCATTAGTAGTCAGACACCCAGGAGCCCTGGCTCCCAGCCCCCCTATTCCCAACCCAGGACCCCCCACTCCTCTCCCAGATGCGGGGAGCCCTTTAGCCACATACATGCTTGAAACTTTGCTCCTAGTTTCCAACTCGTCTCCGTGGGGCTGGTCTCTGCTGTTCCATGAACCCCCAGCAGCTACGGCTGAAAAGTTCAGGACCGACCCAGTTTTCAGCACCCCTCGCAGGGCCCACAAGCCCGCGGATACCCGCTAGATCGGGGCGGG